GGTAGATTAGGTTAAGTCTAAAATTCAAACGTATATAAATGAACTCTTCTAGCTGAGGAAATCAATACAAGAGTAAGTGAACGTCTTTTTATTGAAAAGGTATTGTGTCTATAATTATAATAAAACAATGAAAAATTTCATCGTATTTCTTATGATTATTGTGGTACATGTATTTCTGGTCAATTGTTTACCAGGTGGAATGATGTCTCTTTTGTGTCCAAATGGTGAAGGTGTAATTAATTGTAAAGAAGTCAAATGTTGTTCATTAAGTAAGGATATGTGTTGCCTTGATGAAGCAAGTTTTCAAGGATCAATACGTGTTGCTTGTGCAAGTGTTTTTCCAGAGGGTCATCCATTGGGATGTCGAAATTAAATGTTATGTTCTGAAAAATTTTGTTTTTTTCTTTTGTGAAATAAATTGAAAAGTTCTTTGTTTGATAATTGACTTTTTGACTCGAATTTGTATGAGAGTGAAGGAAGAAAAATATTACAATGATTGATTATTATTATGAAATGGAATCATTGTATTAATGATGGTTTAACCTTCTTCAATATAACATCATTTTTAAAAGAAAATAAAGCCAACAAATATTTATATTTCGAATATTTTTGAAATTGATAATTCATTTTTGGAAAATTTATTTATGATAGAAATTAATTTCAAAGAAATAATTGTGAACTATTGATTATTTTATTTTTCAAAAAAATTCATATAGCATCACATTTCGAAGTGTGGATAATGAACGCAACTGTATATACGTCGTGTATGTTTTGACAATTTCTTTGATTCAACAACTGAATAGGTTACAGAGACTAATTTTATATTAACACTCACATCTTTGCCATTGTTCTATTTTATATTTTTTTGTATATCAATGTAAGATTTCATGTATTTAGTTATTCGAAAATGAATGAATATACAAACATACACCGACGCCATCTTCGTCCTTTAATTTGAATTGCACGAATCATCAGTTTTAGAAATTCTTTCTATTACGTCACAAAAATGCGAAAATGTTGCTGTGGGTTTTTTCCCCACTACACACAGATGGTAGGAAGAAAAACATTAGTATTTTTTGTGTTGAGAAAAAATGATTTACACCATACATTATCGTTTTTATTCTTTTATTCGTAAATAGGTAGGAAAAAAGAAGCACACATAGTTGTCGATCAAATTACCATCGAATATTTTCTCTTGTAGATTTCTTTTTTAAAAGATGATGCAAACACCAATAGTTAAAAATGATGGATCCGTTGATGTTTCACCCCGAAAAATACCCGTTACTTCGACTGTGAACTCGACATATGTTCCATCTACTATTTCATTTTTCGTCTTACGTCAAGTGGATTCAATGGACGATTGGAAAATACAAGTGCTCTTTGACAATGACTTTAAATACGACCTGACTTCTACCATTGCTTTACCTCGTGCGGTAAGTTGTTTTAAACAGAGAAAAAAACAAAATTGTCTTTCTCGATTAAATTTCTTTTTCTCATTCTCCATATGGTGCACATGAAATGATCCATTATCGGTATATTCAATTTCTATTTGAGATTTTTCTAGCTTGTATGATATTCCCGTTTGAGTTTTTCTCTTATTGTCTCGATCATCTCATACTACGATGTAAACTCTAATATAATGTCAAATTTCAGTCGATTTCATAGTACTGTTTTACATATATATAACTATATAGTTGATTTAATCGTTGCATCGAAAAATCATACTGTCATAACGATAAAGTATGAAAGAAAAATCGAGAAGTGTTTATCAGAAGGGGAAATTATTATGCATTACTATAAGACAAATGAATTCTTTTTTCAATTTAGACAATAGGATCCAAAGGTGAACAGAATGTATGTGTGTATCACTCAAATATTGATGTATATTTGAACGATAGTGGAGGTATTCTCCTTGGCAACCGTCTTATTCGTACCTATCGACTTCGTATATCTCAGTCACGAGCCATGACTCCAACAATACATTATGAGGAAAACTTCGCGCGAGAACTTGTGTTAAACCCATCGATATCACGTCAGTTTCTATTCAACGTTCATTTCGAAAAGGGCGTATATATGTTACAAGCCCCTGGTACGTAAGATTTTCACTGATATCTTTTTATTCGTTGTGCTTATGGTAAGAAATATTTCAGGAAAAGACGTGCCGTTCTGGAATCATCTATGTATTTTCACTTACTTTCTTATCAACAAGAAATCTTACGAAGCATTCGAATCTTTTCATGAACAATTTGCAATTGCTATTATCAACCAAAGCCGAACACTTTCACCTGAAAATTTGAATGAATTCTTCAAGCTGTGTCGTAATCACTTTGCAGCCATCGAACGTATCATATTGAACGATCTAGAAGCACTAAAAATTCTTGTTCGTATGATGTCTCCTCTGCTCATCAATCGAGAGAACATGCTCGTTCAAAGTGAAGCAGCTCAATTATTCATTTCAATTCTTCTCAGACATATAGCAGAAGATTTGCAAGCTATTTGGATAGCAATCGTCGATTCTGTATGGACATCATTTCGTGAAGGCTTGATAAATCTTTNTCGAAAAATCACTACGACTGTTGATGACTTATAATAAGTTTTCTTAAACTCTACTAAATTTTTGTTGAAGTTCATGAATTTTATGTTTTATTGCGATTTAACGAATCTGGTTCAGGATCCTCCAGGATCTCATAGGATCCCTAGGATCCACCAGGATCTCGTCGGATCTCTGGGATCCACAAGGATCTGAGGATCCAGGATCCGCTTTTTCCCCCTTGGTTTTGACAATTTCTTTGATTCAACAACTGAATAGGTTACAGAGACTAATTTTATATTAACACTCACATCTTTGCCATTGTTCTATTTTATATTTTTGTATATCAATGTAAGATTCCATGTATTTAGTTATTCGAAAATGAATGAATATGCAAACATACACCGACGCCATCTTCGTTCGTTTTAGAAATTCTTTCTATTACGTCGCAAAAATGCGAAAATGTCGCTGTGGGTTTTTTTCCCACTGTACACAGACGGCAGGAAGAAAAACATTAGTATTTTTTGTGTTGAGAAAAAATGATTTACACCATACATCATGGCTTTTATTCTTTTATTTGTAAATAGGTAGGAAAAAAGAAGCACACATAGCTGTCGATCAAATTATCATCGAATATTTTCTCTTGTAGATTTCTGTTTTAAAAGATAATGCAAACACCAATAGTTAAAAATGATGAATCCGTTGATGTTTTACCCCGAAAAATACCCGTTACTTCGACTGTGAACCCGACATATGTTCCATCTACTATTTCATTTTTTGTCTTACGTCAAGTGGATTCAATGGACGATTGGAAAATACAAGTGCTCTTTGACAATGGCCTTAAATACGACCTGACTTCTATCATTGCTTTACCCCGTGCGGTAAGTCGTTTTAAACAGAGAAAAACACAACATTGTCTTTCTCGATTAAATTTCCTTTTCTCATTCTACATATGGTGCACATGAAATGATCCATTATCGCGGTATATTCAATTTCTATTTGAGATTTTTCTAGCTTGTATGATATCACAGTTTGAGTTTTTCTCTTATTGTCTCGATCATCTTATACTACGAAGTAAATTCTAATATAATATCAAATTTCAGTCGATTTCATAGTACTGTTTTACATATATATAACTATATAGTTGATTTAATCGTTGCATCGAAGAATCATGCTGCCATAACGATAAGGTATGAAAGAAAAATCGAGAAGTGTTTATCAGAAGAGGCAATTATTATGTACCATAAGGCAAATGAATTCTTTTTTTCAATTTAGGTAAGAGCAGTTAGAGGTGAACAGAATGTATATGTGTATCACTCAAATATTGGTGTATATTTGAACGATAGTGGAGGTATTCTCCTTGGTAACCGTCCAATTCGTACCTATCGACTTCGTATATCTCAGTCACGAGCCATACCTCCCACAATACATTATGAGGAAAACTTCACGCGACAACTTGTGTTAAATCCATCGATATCACGTCATTTTCTATTCGACGTTCATTTCGAAAAGGGTGTATATGTGTTACCAGCCCCTGGTACGTAAGATTTTCACTGATACCTTTTTATTCGTTGTGCTTATGGTAAGAAATATTTCAGGAAAAGACGTGCCGTTCTGGAATCATCTATGTATTTTCACTTACTTTCTTATCAACGAGAAATCTTACGAAGCATTCGAATCTTTTCATGAACAATTCGCAAATGGTATTATCAACCAAAGCCGAACACTTTCACTTGAAAATTTGAATGAATTCTTCAAGCTGTGTCGTAATCACTTTGCAGCCATCGAACGTATCATGCCGAACAATCTAGAAGCACTAAAAATTCTTGTTCGTATGATGTCTCCTCTGCTCATCAATCGAGCGAACATGATCGTTCAAAGTGAAGCAGCTCAACTATTCATTTCAATTCTTCTCAGACATATAGCAGAAGGTTTGCAAGCTATTTGGATAGCAATCATCGATTCTGAATGGGCATCATTTCGTGAAGGCTTGATAAATCTTTTGTGTATAAAATTACACAATCACAATTCTAAGGAAGAGTCGAACATTGTTTTTGATATATTAACTAAACTTCCTGAAGGAACACGACGACATGAATTAATCGAGAAATTAATTAATTTACTTACCCAGTTAAAGTGTAATCTTTCCAAAGATCAAGAAGTGATTTTATATACGTTGATTGGTCACAAGAATCTTACATTGGAACATCTTGAATTGTGTAGCTCGTTGAACGCGTACGTTAGCAATTTAACTCAATTTCTATCAGTTCATCAAGACAATGTTGTCCAATTAGAGACGAAGATTCAAATTCAACTCGATCGACTTCTGCAAGAAAAGCGTTTTCCAAGTAAGAAAAAAGATCCAATTATATCTCTAATGTTTCTGTCGTTTTAGTTAATCTGGAGGATATTTTATTTGTTTTGAAGTTTTTCAATACTGAATCCGACAAAGTTGCTGATGATTTGAATGAAAAAGCTATTCAAAAGATTAAATTTATTTTTGAAACAAATTTTTCTTTACGTAGCACATTCGGAACATACTTAAATGAAAGAAATCATCATATAACAGTTGATGAATTTCCTCTCATTCGTGATATCATCCTACGGTATTACAATGAATATGTGTTGCACGACATCAATCGGTCACAATATTTGTTACGTACACTGGCCTGTCGTAAAGATCGAACAATCGATTATTTCATAAACTGGTTCAAATTCTTTTTATGTGAGTCAAATCCAAATTGGTTGCGTTACGAAGAAATAGTTCAACAATGGACGGATTGTTTTGCTCACCAGCCAGAAAGATTTGCAGAAGTTATTAAACAAATTGATATATTGATGAAACTATGGGCACAAGTCTCACCAGAAAATGTGCAGCGTTCGAATTTTTTGGCCACGCACATGGTAGGAGAATGTTTTCGATACGGTAAAAGCTTTAGTGAGAGTGTCAAATGACGACATATCTTTAGTGTGATTTTTCATTGTAGGAAATATTTATGAACGACTAAGAGATGATTTACGATTAGTCCAAAATCAAATGTTCATTGATGCTTTCAAGGAGAAATTTAAGAAAAATGTATTATCTATCGCCCAATATCCATTAAACCAAATACAAAATGGTGAAAATCCATTGGCGCAGCTGCTAAGAATCAGTTCTGGCCAACAAGAACAAAATCGATTGGTGAAAGATTTGATCGAACTCGCCATTTCCTTGGTAGAAATCGATGAGAATCAAGTTATGAACGATGCATTTTATCATCCATCGCGTGATACATTCACGTACACCGTTCTTTTCAAAAATTCTCTTCAGCAACTTCCGATCTATGAACAAACAATCCATCAGTTAACAAAACAGTTGAATCGATGGGAAACAGGTGTGTTTGCTTCTCACGTTCGAACTTGGACGAATCTTACAAGAGACCAATTAGTTATTGTTCAACAAGTATGGTCATTAGTAACACAAAAGGCGGAGAAAACCTATCAGATTGATGCACTGTTCAATGAGACACATCGAGATATGCAAACTAAATTACAAATCAGTAATCAGATAGTGACTTGCCTTAATGCTTATTGTACAGAGGCAAACGACCGGGAAAAGTATCACGAACTCGTGCAACAATGGCATCAGCGTTTCGAAATCGAAGTTATTCAATCGATCAATGTACCACCGGCTCTCCAAAATCTCGTCCCATTCGCAGAGAAGCTCAATCCATATGTTGGTGCGCATGCTTGGCGAGAATTTCTCCAGCAACATACGGCTATCAATGGTAAACATATTGCTCCATCTTGCAGAACAATGAATAATGAAATGTGGAATGAGGATGAACCATCATCACCAGGTTAGTGAAATTTATTGACATGTTTTGCAAAAACTTAAGCATTATTATAGAAGCATCTCCTGAACAAATTGAAGTTGCGTTTATCGACACAACCAAGGAACGAATGACGAACACATGTTTAGATATTCTTGATCGAGCAGTTGATGTTCTCAAGCGATTTCGCATGAAATTGCAGCATATATGTGAATCAGTACACAGTTTACCNACAAGTTTCGCCTGAAAATGTGCAGCGTTCGAATTTTTTGGCCACGCACATGGCCGGAGAATGCTTTCGATGTGGTAAAAGCTTTAGTGAGAGTGTCAAATGACGACATATCTTTAGTGTGATTTTTCATTGTAGGAAATATTTATGAACGACTAAGAGATGATTTACGATTAGTCCAAAATCAAATGTTCATTGATGCTTTCAAGGAGAAATTTAAGAAATATGTATTATCTATCGCCCAATATTCATTAAATCAAATACAAAATCGTGAAAATCCATTGGTGCAGCTGCTAAGAATCAGTTCTGACCAACAAGAACAAAATCGATTGGTGAAAGATTTGATCGAACTCGCCATTTCTTTGGTAGAAATCGATGCGAATCAAGTTATGAACGATGCATTTTATCATCCATCGCGTGATACATTCACATACACTGTTCTTTTCAAAAATTCTCTTCAACAACTTCCGATCTATGAACAAACAATCCATCAGTTAACAAAACAGTTGAATCAATGGGAAGAAGGTGTGCTTGCTGCTCACGTTCGAATTTGGACGAATCTTACAAGAGACCAATTAGTTATTGTTCGACAAGTATGGTCATTAGTAACACAAAAGGCGAAGAAAACCTATCAGATTGATGCACTGTTCAATGAGACACATCGAGATATGCAGACTAAATTACGAATCAGTAATCAGATAGTGACTTGTCTTAATACTTATTGTACAGAGGCAAACGACCAGAAAAAGTATCACGAACTCGTGCAACAATGGCATCAGCGTTTCGAAATCGAAGTCATTCAATCGATCAATGTACCACCAGCTCTTCAAAAACTCGTCCCATTCGCAGAGAAACTCAATCCATATGTTGATGCGAATGCTTGGCGAGCATTTCTCCAGCAACATACAGCTATCAATGGTAAACATATTGCTCCATCTTTCAGAACAATGAATAATGAAATGTGGAATGAGAATGAACCATCATCACCAGGTTAGTGAAATTTATTGACATGTTTTCCAAAACTTAAGCATTATTATAGAAGCGTCTCCTGAACAAATTGAAGTTGCGTTTGTCGACACAACCAAGCAACAAATGATGAACACATGTTTAGATATTCTTGATCGAGCAGTTGATGTTCTCAAACGATTTCGCACGAAATTGCAGCATATATGTGAATCGGTACACAGTTTACCGATTTTTCACGTTATTAATCTATTTGCCGATATTCGACAAGCAGAACACGATCTTACACTGTTGATGCCGCTGCTTATTCCCGAAGCTCTACCATCACTACTTTCTATAGTTTCATTCTGGAAAGATCGTACTAAAATTCAACATGTCTGCAAGGGTTGTGTGCATTTAGTTGCAAAAGTTTCAGCAACGATTGATTCAACTTTTCTCGATCGTGTTCAAGTTGTTGATCACGATACATTGGGTGAAGAATGTGTGATAGTTTATACAAAGTATCAAAATGAAATTGAAAAACGTTATCAAGAGAAAGTTCTCACATTGATCTCTTACTACAGTTCGTCGAGTGATCTTCTCGATTTTCTTCACTTGTTGACATTGGAAGATGTTTACAATTTGCAAGAAGCTGTAAATGATTGGGATGAAACATTGCTCAACCCAAAATCAGTATTCGATTTTGCTGTCGTAAAGAATTTCATCGATCGTGCTTATAAGGCGATGAGCATCTTGGATAAAACTTCATTTCAGCTTGAGCGTATCGTCGACTGTTTTATTGAAGTCTGGAAAGATGCTCAATTTACAGATTTACTGAAATGTCTCGAGTCAGCATCACTTGCCTTGTCAAGTATTAAACGTATTCATCTGGAATTAACTGATAAAGAACAATCAAAACGACGTCGTATTGCTGATATTCTGCAAAAATCTACAATCTATTTTGTACATATTAATGATCAGCAACTAACCTTCGATATCAACGTTGAACTACCAGTGCAACAAACAACAACGACGAACGACGAAAAGAAACAACAGAACATTACATTTGCTGATCTTAGTGAACTTCGTGATCGTGCACGTCTATTAGAATATTCGAGTAATGTTAAGAAACAAAATTTATCGGAAGTTGACCATGAACGTGAAAAACACAAACTTCGTGAATTTATTCAATTTGTAAGCATTGTCGAATTGATCCTGGAGATTCTGAGAAATTTATACACAGCTGGTCACCCCTCCGTATCAGAATTTCTCAAGCCGAAGAAAACATTTTCCTGTACAAATGAGAAGTACGATGATCTACGAGAAAATTGCCAAATCTTGGAAAATCTCTTGAAGAATTGGGAAATACACCTATGCCGTATGTACGAGAAATTTATTGGATTGACGTATTTCTCGAGCGACCAGTTCTGGCAAATCGAGGAGTACATCTACAATAGACCGTCACTCTCGCATCCAGGCTATCATTTTCTTCAATTCATCGGAATTGACTCGACTTCAATCATTCAACCACAGTGCGCACAGCAACAACAAAGTCCTGAAGATCGACTGGCGAATCTTGGTCGATGGCTTTCGAAAAAACAAAGGGTTGACGCTGTGGAAGAGTCTCCAAAGAATAAAAAATGTTTCCTCATCGAAACAACAAACGAAGGTGTTCTCCGTGCTATTCTTTCTTTATTTGATTTGATGACGACACCATCTGAAGTTCAGCGAATCTTTTATTGTACTTGGCGAACAAACTGGGTTCAAGTACGTGCGTTCATTTATCGTTGTTTTTATTCGCAAACACTGCACCAAATCATTCGACCTGAACGTCTTTCACAATCGATTCAACATCGATTTACAGATCTCTTACGCACATTAATGGAATCTAAACCGCGTCAATATTTTCGCATCGGAATTATCACAACGACTCCTTCATTTGAACAACAACTCATTAACGGACTTCAATCCATGCAAGTTCTTCACATTTATCGTGATCATGAATTACTTAATGCCAATAAATTCAAACAAATTTTGAAACGATCGATGCGTCCGTGTACATTAGTGACATCGAAAATTACCGGTCTGGGAAAGTCCAGCTTAATTCGTCAGACTATTCGATCATCGGGTAAAAAATATGTGAAGTTTCCAATCTACGGTGATTTTGATGTGGATACATTAGCTGAACGTCTGCGCTCGAAGTATCCTGAATGTCAACGTGGAGCAATTCATTTTGACATTGGCACAATTGAAAATCGTCAACAATTAAATGAAATCTTCTACTGTCTTCTCCTATTCGGAAGTTTTCAATTTGGACAAGCAACAGTTGCTATACCGGCTGAAACACCCATCTATATTGAACTTGATGCATCACCACAATCTACTCTAACAGAAATCACTCTATTCGATCATGTTGAAACATCAATACCAATCAATCAAATCGATTGGAACAATCTCAATGTCAACGACAATCGAATTCAAGTCGTAGCCAATTATTTACAAGCTATTGCCGATAAAACAATTCTTAAACAAAACATCAATCCTACCTCACTCAAAATACTCGATCTGGCAACATGCTCCCGCTTGATTCAACAACCTTTCTTAGCAGGAAAAAATCAAGATTTCATTACGTGGACACAATTACAAATCTTTATCGGTGTTTTCTATCGTCTGTTCACAGGTTTTTCACGATGTGGTCATTTTCTCTGTGAATACGTTCCAAACGCACAACTTCGAATGGATCTCGTTCTAACACTTCTTCAATCATCCAATCAATTTACTTCATTGTCGGTCGAAAACGTACGTATACAGCAACAAGCCATCGCGACAAATGAACCCGTGACATTCAGTGACGCGATCGTTCGATGGGATACTATTCAACCGTTTACATTAGTATTCACTGCTACTGACGATGCCTTGTTTGTCTACAAAAAACCAGACGATGTGCCTGCAGCATTAAAACAATATTTCGAAGTTTATCATAGATCACTCAAGAAAGGTAAACAGATGACGATAAATGAAATGTTTCCTGATTATAATCAACTTTCACACGCACAACTATTCAGTAAATTAGCTTCTCTCTCACGGAAATATTTCAACAAATCGATTTGTCCTGTATGCTTTTGTCAGTATGAATACACAGAGCAACGTTGTCAGCAATGCTCTACGAAAGAGATACTCATTCGACCGAAAACATTCGATCACGATGATATTTCGATCTTTCAACTTGATATTGCCGAACGATTGCAAAACGAATACGTTCTTACTCCAGATAATTTTATTAAAATGCTTCTCATCTATCTACGAGTACAAAGTGGTATCCCTGTTTTGATTATGGGTGAAACAGGTACGAGATAGAACGCAATCCAAATCAAAAACCTTCTCTTTTTTGTAGGATGTGGAAAGACAGCCTTAATTCAATTCTTATGTCAGAAAATTTTAGATGACCAATTGCAAGTTTTTCGTATGCATGCTGGTGTTCAAGCCAATGATATTATTCATGTAATGCAACACTGTGTTACGCAAGCATTAGAGTTGGCAAAACAAAACAAACAGATGTGGATATTTTTCGATGAATTCAACACAACAAGTAATATTGGTCTCCTAAAAGAAATTATGTGCGAGAGAACTTTACTGGGGACACCATTACCAATAAACATCGTTTTCTTGGGCGCATGTAATCCACGACGTAAGAAGACAAAGAAAATTATGATCAATGATGATGCTCATATTGGTCTACGAAAAACACGTTATGAAACTCAGAAATTACTTTGTGCAGGTACGGATCGATGTCTTCTCTATACAGTAGTACCTATTCCAGAGACGATGCTCGAATATATATGGGATTATGGTTATCTGAATGAACCAACGGAAAAAGCTTACATACAGACAATGTTAAAAACATGTCGGGATCTTTCGTCAGATGCAACTCTTTTCGACCTAACAGTCACATTACTCCTCAGTTCGCAGAATCATATGCGCG